ACTAATAAAGAATTAACTTTTCTTTATTTTATAACTTATGGAATTAATTAAGGTTACATATTTTATTTATTTATTTATTAATGAAGTGACTCTTGAACCTCCATAACTTAAGGACAAGACTCTTCATCTTTTGTAACCATTGCCAACTTTTATGAGTTTTTATGAAACTTAAATATAACTTGAGGACAAGTTACAAAAACACATTTTAGAATCAACTCTTAGATTAATTTGGATTGAAAACAACTTTTTCACTCAACTTTTCTATTAATCTAAGCAACTCATAAGAACAAGATAATTCAAATCAAACTTTTTCATGTAATTAGTCTAACCTTTAAACTAATACAAAACATGAATCTATTGACAATTATCTTTGAAATGGATTAGCATGAACATTACCACATTAAAAACAAGTTTATAAGTTCAAAACAACTTAGGGTAATGTTCCTAGTCCATTTCTAGCCAAAAACCTCGAAGATATGCTGTCTGGGGTCCAACTCGTCGAGTGCATGAACACAACTCGGCGAGTTGGATGCATTTTGCCTTGGACTCGTCGAGTCCCTTCATGGACTCGGCGAGTCTGCTGGGCTGACAGCATCAAACTCGATTTTTCAGCTTCTATTGCAGGTATAACAAGAAAACAAGCCTAGGCTCTGATACCACTGTTGGGTTATGAGCATTCTAACACTCCTAAGTGTACATGCAACCCTAAATACCTTGGATCTATGTTTTCTCTATTATACATGCAAATATGAACATCCAAGGTATTATCCTAATCTAGCATACAAAATAATGGATATAACAAGATAGAATACATACCTCTTTGATAGTGCTTGTCTTCATGAAGCTTGAGTGCCTTAGTGCCCCAAGTGTGACACCTCAAATGGTTCACACAACACCATAAGCACTTGGAATAACTTAGAGAGAAATTAGAACACTTCATGAAATCGTGTAGCCCTCATACATACACATAGTGTTAGTCACGATTTCTTGAGCCATGGGTTTCTTTTATATGGTGGCTATTAGGGTTACACCATGTAACTCATGACTTTACCCATTCCTTATGCTCCATGGATTTTAACCTCCATGGAGTATCCATGGGTCACCCCATGGACTTAGTCCAACATAAGGAATCTTGGATCACAAGCCCACATATATAAGAATGAATGATTTACACAATCAACCCATATATTTAATTAGTCTTCTTTTGATCACTTAATTAATTCTAGATTAATTCTTGATCAATACTAATTAAATAATCTCATTATTCTTATTATTAATATACTAGAACTTATAATATATTAATAACCGTAAGTGTCTTATTTCTCTCATTATAGTCTATCCAAGTGCATGATGCCATGCAACCCAAATGGACCATGCCGGGTCGGGTCAAGTCTTACCAATTATAGTTATGGACTTAGACATTAATCCAACAGTTTTATGATAACATGTTTAATTATTTCTACTTTGGTTTTGACATGACATGATACTACAAATGTTTTATTACACTATTGGTTTTATAATGACTTATTTAAAAATAATTTTTTTTTAGCCTGTATTTTTGGGATGTTACAAGTTGGTATCAGAGCCTTGGTTTGAGGGATTCGGGCACACTCTCGGGTGTGTCTGAACTAAAACTAAGGACTTGGTATGAATAGTTTCAAAAATAAAATCATTTTATAAAAGAAGTTTGAAAAGAGAAAAGAACTTTGAAAAGAACAAGGTGTGTGATGCGTGCAATCAGCCGAGCTCAAGTAAGTTTTTCCCAAGATACCCATACATGTTATGATATGATATGTTATGATTATGAGAACTGCATGCTAGATTAGGGCTAAGGATCTAGGAGGATGCCTTATATGCCTATTATTTGTGCTTGTAGACTTGCATGCTAGTACTGATCAGTCAGCGATAGGATAGCCTGTTTAGGTTATTCTTGATTGTATGATCCTTTTAATTGCATGTATAGATTCCTGAATAGAGGATAAAATGATTTGATTGGAATATGATGGTTAGATTTTCCGTTGTCTGAATGCTGCTTGCTTTGTGCTTTGTGGGACTCTTAGTAATGTGAGTTAGCTATTAAGTGACTATGCTAAGTTACATGTGGCATGGGCTGGATAATCTCACAGTGATAGATTTGACCCTATTGTGCAACTCTCGTTTGAGTCTAACCGTTATAGGGATGAGTCTATCACTTGAAGGATTATCTTATCTCTGTTGCATGTGGCTATATTCATGAGGTAGCTAGTTGACATTACTGGGAATCATTCAGCAGCTGAGGATTGGGTGAGTTCGGGAACCTAGGGAAGCCTAGGATATATTTCAGTGAGTTAGTAGTGAGGCTTAGTTAGACTTGGGTGTACCAGTTGAGGAAGTGACTTGGAGTATCCGGGAGGATTGCTGAGGAAAGTATGGATAGGTGTGGAAGGTAGTATTGGGCCCGTACTACTGAAAGCACAGGATCCATACTCGAATCAGTAAGAGTATTGGAGAATCTAAGAAGCTTCAGGGAAGAGTTTATGACCCAGTTTGGGGACAGAGGATGTTCTAGTTGTTGCAGCTTAGCCATTGGCAAGCGAGCTAGTGAGCATGACAGGGTGTCAGACCCTGAATGATATGATTTCCAAGGATTGCAGATGTGGGATCGATTTGGGAGTACCCTGAAAAGAAAGGTGTGTGTGAGGTGCGTATAGTAGGGGTCTCGGGAAGAGACCCATGATTTCTGATCATCGGGTGAAAGGCCAGCAGGGTCGGAGTCAGTGCAACGTGTACAAGAAAGTGTACGAGGGAGTTTGTCACTCCAAGGGTTTAGGATGATACAGGTGTGGAAGGGTTGATCATATCAGCTGGAGGTGACTCGGATTCCTCCAGATGTTGCGGGTATGTCATATTTTACTACTAGTAGTTGGATGTTGGGAATATGTATCGCTTTGGAATTGTGAGTAAGTCGGATAACTCAGACTTCAGGTCGGTTTTCCTGCTAGTGTTTGGGTTATCAAGGATCATATATGCCATCCTACATGCCGAAAGGTCCTTGATGAACCCAAAGAGGGATGCATCTTGGGGAGTGGGTTCCGCGCATACCGTTATCATTTTGGATCTTCGTCGGGATCTATGCAGGAGTATTATTTAGAGGATACTCGATCAGGGTTGGAGTGATTGTTTTCTAATGAAGTCAGCGTTCAGAGGTTCTATCATTGTTCAGGTATGGTCGGTAATTGTTTATGGATGAACTTTGGAGTTCAAGGAACTACCGTTGCTAGGACGGAACTGGTGACAGGAAGAGGGTAGTGTCAGTCGCGGATGTTAGATGCATGAGTGGTTGGTCATCGCATGTTTAGGATAATTGTGTTTTCGCATGGGCTGTGTTCGGTTAGACTTTAGTGGTACAGCAAGATTGGAAATGAGAACGAGGATTCATCAGCTAGAGTGAAGATTAAGGTCTTCAATTGGCAGCATGTTTGATGGACTGAGGTGTTAGAATGGATCAGAGTCCAAGAGTACTCATCAATATTTCTGAGGATGGGAGATCTCAAGGTTTAATCGGCCATTAAATGCTAGCATTGGCAGGCATAGGCTGTCATCAGTGGGATATTAGAAAGCGAGAAGGATTAGAAATCCTTCAATTCTCATGTAATGTGAAGACTTAGTCGAGTCTAAGTGGGGGAGAGATTTTTATAAAGTTCTCCAACTGTGAGTTCTGGTTGCGCAAGGTGCAATCTCTTGGAAACCTTGTCAACCAGAAGGGTGTTCTAGTTGATTCGGCCAAGATAGAGGCCATGATGCAGTGGGATATTCCGAGGTCTCCATCTGAGATTCAGAATTCCCTGGGTGTAGCGGGCTACTACCTAAGATTTATACGGGACTTCTCCAAGATTGCGGTTCCTTTGACCCGACCGACCAAGAAATCGGTGGCCTTTCGTTGGGGGCCAGGGCAGCAGGCAGCCTTCGAGGCTCTCAAACAGCGGTTGTACGAGGCACCAATTCTCACCCTGCTAGAGGGTGTAGATGATTTTGTGGTTTATGGTGACGCTTTGATCATGGGATTGAGTACGGTACTGATACAATGGGGTCACGTGATAGCAGTTTTCGGGAACTAGGTTAGAGTTCCGGTTAGGATTCAAGCTCAGTTGTGTGTTTGATCAAGTGTGTGTCCGATCGGTATGGAAAGTGTTGTAAGACTACGGGGGCAGCTGTAGCATTCACTAGCAGTCAGGTAGTATGGAAAGTGTTGTAAGACTACGGGGGTAGCCGTAGCATTCACTAGCAGTCACGTAGTATGGAAAGTGTTGTATGACTACGGGATTAGCTGAGCCTTAGCCGAGAATAAGTGATCTGCAGAGGTAATTGGGTTGTGACCCAAGTTTATGGTGGGAACCACATGCTATCAGAAGTTAAGTAGTTAGTTGAGGGATGAACCGAGTAGATTCATCAGTAATAATTTAGTAGGAGTGGTCTTTCAGGGATTCAGACCATCTCAAAACAACAGATTTTGGACAGAGTACATGTGGTCTTGTTGCAAGGAATTCAACACCTGCGAATTTAGCGCATTACGAGGATTGGTCATGGCTACCTTGGGAAGGCTAGGGCGTTCCCATGATGATGACTATGTTACTAGAGTGGCTTGGTATGTAAGGATTGATAAGGAATGATTTCGAGGACGAAATCTAATTTAAGTGGGAGAGAGTTGTAAACCCCTGTTTATTTATTAAATAAATAAATAAATTAATGAATGACTCGTAGCCCTAAAACAAATAATCATATATGCAGGGTGTTGGTTCCAAGGAATTAATTGGCACAGTTTTAGAAGTCAGGGGTGAAAAGTGTGAGTTCCGGACTTAGTTTGTAAATATTTATGAAGACAACGGTTCCGTGGTAACTGTTTGGATTTAATTTAAAAGGAAATGAGGTGGAAGGGTTGATTATGTCATAATTATGATATTGGGGGCTGTTTGGTAAATTTTATACCTAAGGTGTAAAGGATTTTAATGCCGAGGGTCTAGATGGTAATTATCGAATTTAATTTGAAGAAGCATTCCAAATCCAAGGTAGAAAGGGTAAATATTAGACTCAAGTTAGAAAGGCTATGTGGGGAGGGACTAAACTCGTTAAAAGGATGAAAGTTTGAAAGGAACACGGGACTTAAACCCGTCATTCCCTTCCTTCCCGTTTTTCTCTAAACACGCCTAACCCTAATGCTTCACTAGCCGCCACCATTGATGAAGACAAGCTCGGCCGCCACCTGCCCTGTTGAGTCCGACCGCCGCCTCCTTGACGTTGAAGCTGGAGTCCACCGCACCCAATATCGACGGCGAAGATGCTGCCAATGACGAAGAGCAACACGAGGATGCCAGCAGCGGGTTGTCGCTGCCCTCCTCCGGTGAAATGAGCAACGTTCGCCATTGTGCAAGGCGTGGGTGTGGATACGAAGTTCTTGGTAATGATTGTACCCACTCATCTACTCCTTTCTCTTCGTTCTCTCTGTGATTTGGAATAGTTTTTATCGGCAGGGGCTGCCGGTGGTTTTACACCACCGTTGTTGGTGTTTCCGATCGGTACATGCCACCGTAGTGGCTGGGTTGGGAGTGATTTGGTGTCCAGTTCTTGATTATGAGTGCGTGTGTATGATTGCTTGGCCGGGGACAAAGAAGAAACCACCGCCACCACCGTGAGGTGGTGGCTACCGTCATAACCGCTGTTGTTACTGCTGTTTTGGTGTTGTTGCCACCGCCCTGAGCCACCAGATGGGTGGTTGGAGTGTTGGATGCAATCTGAAGTTTATGTGCGTGTGCTTTGTCTAGTTGGAATACCAAGAACAACCACCGCCACCGTGAACCACCGTGTTTTTGGGTGTGTGTTAGCATTAGTGTGAGTATGTGGCATTGGATATTTTACTTTGTAACTGTAATAGTGTCGAAATAATGAAAAGGAAAAATCAAACCACCACCGTATGGTGGTGACCGCTGTGTCGGGTGGCGGTGTGCTTACTTTGTGAGTTTGATTCGTTTAGGGTGCTTGAAACCCTAATGGGCCAAAGTAGCTCAAATGGGCCCAATAAAGCTTAATGGACCTTAATAAAACCTTAATGGGCTCAATGATATTCTAGTGGGTTTAATAGACCCAATAAAGCCCTAAATAACCTAAAAGTCCAACAAATTAATAATGGGCTAGTATTTGTGTTGGAAAACCCTAATGCCAATAAATCTTTAATTCGGGGAATTAATCGGGACACACGGGAATTATTTAATAACTTGGAATATTAAATAAGGATCATTAGCAAACTAGTGTAAGGCATAATCGACTTAACGAATTAAGTCCTTAATGGGTTAAGAAAGAAACACTGAACCTTAATCATCATTTCATATGAAAACTCTAATTTGGGATTATGGGATTGGACCTATCGAGACCCACATTTGGGTCATTGGAATGGAATTATGTGATTAAGCCCAATGACACCATATGGCTTATTTTGAAGAATGATGGACTTAATGGATTAAGTCCTTAGATGAATAATTCCTTAATGGGTTAAGTAGGAAACTTAACCCTAATCGGCATTTTATATGAAACCCTAACTTCACTTGGGTTTATTGTTGGGCCTTTCTACTGGGCCTTGATGATTGGATTATTAGTGGGCCATCCAAGAATAATTATATGGACTAAAATAATTAAATGGGCCTAAGGTAAGTCCCATGTAAGGGGTTGGGCCCAATTTGGAAAATTGGGCCATTGTTGGACCATAGTTGGACCTTAATGATTATATGATGTTGGGCCTTAGAATAAGATCATGTATATGCTTTGGCCCAATTTGGAAAATTGGGCCATATGATGGGCTTTGACTCACAGTTGACTTTGGGCCTACGGATTGGGCCTTGGGCTTGAATAAGCCAAGCTTGGGGTAATGTAATTATCCAAAGTAAGTGTTATGGTTATGTATTGGAACCCAATTATTAATTGGGTGTTATTTTGGTGTTGACAGTTCGAGAATCTATCATCCAGCAGATGGGGTTGAGTCTGCGAGGCTTCAGCAAGTGTGAGATTTTGTCTGCGGGACTTCAGCAGTGTGAGGTAAGTTACCTTCTAGTAGTAGTGGTTCTAAGGCCACAATGCCGACCCACTAGTAGGAAGTATATGATTAGATGATTGTCTTTGTGATATTCATCTAGGGTTGCTACTACCTGTGTTATATTTATGTGTTTGTATGATATGATGTTATTTGCTAGTGATAGTAGGGGAGATAGTCCCCAGGTTACCGGTCGATAGGGCCGAAAGGGGCAGTCAAGCCCAGCCATGTTAAATATATTATGTGATACGTGTTGTGTGGTAGTGGTAGGGGGTGAAATATTCCCCAGTATCCGGTCGAGAGGACCGAAGGGGAGACCAGCACCCAGATATGCTAGCCAGTATCTGGTCGAGAGGACCGAAGGGGAGACCAGCACCCAAATATGCTAGTCAGTATCCGGTCGAGAGGACCGAAGGGGTAGGTCGGGCACCCAGATATGCCTGACAATATATTTATGTTATGTGATTATATGGTATGTGGTATGATGGGGGAACTCACTAAGCTTCGTGCTTACGGTTTTCAGTTTTGGTTTCAGGTACTTCGTGTCTAAAGGAAAGCAGCCGGCTTGATCGCAGCGCATCACACTATGGTTTTCCGCACATGGGATCTTTGGGATTACACTCTGATATTGTTTTATGATAACATGTTTAATTATTTCTACTTTGGTTTTGACATGACATGATATTACAAATGTTTTATTACACTATTGGTTTTATAATGACTTATTTAAATTTTTTTTTTTTTAGCCTGTATTTTTGGGATGTTACAGTTTCCCCTAGGGTAAGCCTAGGATGAGATAGTGTTGGGAACAATAGCAGTAGAGAAAGGGACCTGGTGGAGTCAAAGCAGTTCTTGAAGAAAGTACGGATAGATGTGTAAGGTAGTGTGGGTCCGTACTAGTGAAAGGAGAGGAACCGTACTCGATTCAGGAAAGGCCGAGATGAGTCCGGGAACTTGTAGTGTGTCTTTGATCGCTCAGCAATGATGAGTATTCTGATAGTTATTGCGATATGTTTTCAGCATGGTGACATTGCGAGAGAGACCAGTGGGCGGATCAGGTGTCGGAGACGGATAAAGCTCGGGTTCAGGGACCGAGTAGCTCGAGGAGCGGATGAGGGAGTGGATATCAGCTGAGGTTATGTGCAGTATCCTAGATCAGACTCCTGTGATCTTTGGCACGGTCAAGGAGGGTAACTGGAGATCTTGGATGAGAGGTTGGGAGCCTTTCGTACCGAGATAATGGCTTTGATGGGAGCGCGTACTATGACATTCCGAGAGTTTAGAGCTTGCGGAGCACCAGATTATCATGTGGTTAGGGACCCCCATCGCTAGCAGCAGGTGGTTGGCTGATGTTGCCAACGTGTTCCGTACGAGCCGGTGTCCTAAGGGGGACAAGGTTAGACTCGCCTCCTGTCTTCTAAAGGATAGAGCGAGGGATTGGTGGGAGGAGGTTCTTCACGCCATTGGTGATGATGTCGTGTTGGGCGGCGATGACATGGAGCGATTTCTCGGCCAGGTTCAGGACTGAGTTTCTGCCGATTATTGAGGTGCAGCAGCTGGCACGGGAGTTTCAAGATTTGATGCATACTACTGAGGCTGTGGTGGAGATCACCACCAAGTTCAGGGAGAGGGCCCTTCTTGTTCCGCAATATGTCGCAGATGAGGAGATGAAGAAGGCCCGATACCACGGGATGTTGATGATGGATTTTATGCATAAGAACAATCCTATGTGCTCATACAAACCCTAATGCTTGGATCTAGGTTTCTCTATTGTACATGCTTTGAATCCAAGACTAATAAACTTAGATCTAACATGTTATAAACTGAATTAGGGTTTAGAGAATTACCTTTGATTGTTATATAGCAATAACAATCAATTCCTTGCTTGGATTGGCTTCAAAAGCTTAGTGCCTCAAGTGTTGCACCTCTAATGGAGTCACAAACACCATATGCAACTTGGATGAAGAGGAGAAGAAGAGAGGCTGCCCAAAAACGACTAGAAACCCTAGAGAATCAGTTGTCCACGTTTTTGGGGCTTAAGGGTCCTTTATATACATGTAGGCTATTAGGGTTTACAACTAGGAAACCCTAATCTGACTAAGTAGCCCATGGACTTCTTAAACATATCCCTTGGACGATTTCTAATGGGCTTCCCATAGAATTCGTCCAACCTATATATTATTAGGTGACCGATAGCCCAATTATAATTATCTTATAATTACAACTTCAGTCCCCTAAGTTTAATTAATCTCTTTTAGCCACAAAATTAATTATCAATTAATTCTTGACTAATATTAATTAGACAATATGATTTCTCCTTTAATATATTATTCTCACAATATATTAATAAATCATATTTAAACATTTCTCTCCTTAAATCATCCTACATATTGCTATGGTGAAGGCAACCCAAAAGGACCATGCTCATAATCGGGTCAAGTACATACCAAATAGTAGTTATGGACTTAGACACTAATCCAACAGTCTCCACTTGGATAAGTCTAATAACTATTTTCCGTATACTTCAGAACCTGATCAGCAATCGTAGCTTTCAAAAGCCGTTGTTACTCTGATCTTATCAGATAGCGTGTCTCTAGATAAGGGATTATATATTCTCCATTCTCAAGATATCGTATAGACAAAGACATGAATTTCAATCATTCTCTCTATACTGTTTCCCGACTTCCGATTTATGACGACTGATAACAGACTACAATTGAACACATCAACTTAGTCCGGCTTGGCCAAGCGCTTAGGTGTCATCACTAAATCATCGAGAGGCCCATAGATATCGCTTTTATCCCACTTTGGGTAAAAGGAATGGATAAACTTTGACTCAAATGCTCGCTTGCATTTACTGATCGAATCACACACAACAATAAGTTTTATAACACCAAGTTACTGGTGCGTTTACTTATTATCAATGTGTAACTGACCAACAAATAACAACTCACACGTCTCGGCTTTCAAGAATATACAATATTATCGTCTCACTAATCACTCATGATAAACCATGAAGTGATCCAAGTGAGCGTGGGTTTAATCCAATACTCTAATCTTATCAAGCATTCATGAATCTGCAGCAAACTTGTGCCATGTCTAAACACTTCAGACAATCTACAGACAGATTCATGACAGTCTTTATTCATACCTACTCCCAACGTATGACCGACTGTGGATGTTTGAATAACCTAGTTATTCTGGAAGTCAAAACATGCAAACTGAAATAACAACAATACTTAATCCTATATGGCCCAAACTTGTGAGAGTAAATAAAACACTTCTATTTATCCACCATATTGATTACTCATT